TGGCACTGGAGGGAGTGCAAAGGAGGTTCACTAGGTTGATTCCAGAGTTGAGGGGGTTGGCTTATGAGGAGAGACTGAGTAGATTGGGATTATATTCATTGGAATTCAGAAGATTGAGGGGGGGGATCTTATAGAAACATATAAAATTATGAAGGGAATAGATAAGATAGAATTAGAGAGGATGTTTCCACTGGCAGGTGAAGCTAGGACAAGAGGGCATAGCCTCAAGATTAGAGGGAGCAGATTTAGGACTGAATTGAGAAGGAACTTCTTCACCCAGAGGGTTGTTAATCTATGGAATTCCTTGCCCAGTGAAGTAGTTGACACTACTTCAGTAAATGCTTTTAAAAAAAAGGTAGATTTTTTTTGAACAATAAAGGAATTAAGGGATACGGTGAGAAAGCGGGTAAGTGGATCTGAGTCCACGAAAAGATCAGCCATGATCTTATTGAATGGTGGAGCAGGCTCGAAGGGCCGGACGGCCTACTCCTGCTCCTAGCTCTTCCGTTCTTAACTTGACAAAGGAAAATTGAGAAAAAAAAAAAAGAAGTGTTTCACATTCCCAAGATCAAGGCTACTGATTTACACTTTGTTTCTGTTCCTTGCACGGAGAAATTCAGCTGCAGCTGTAGCTGTAACCAGTACCTGCCAAATCTTTAAAAGCTTGCAATCTGATTAGAAGATTTCACTCTTCTTTATATCTCCAAATTCTAAACTTAGTGAGGCATCTTTTCTCAATTTGAAGATCCTTAAACATTGATTAAAAGAATTTATTGACAAATAGAACTCTCCTTTTTAGGTAAGGGATAATACAATGAAGTCCTGAGCATAAGCAGTACAGATTTACTATTGTTAATTTCCAGCTAATCATTTTCCCACAGCAGGGTCCATGTTGTTAGGTGCTGTTCCAGCCAAACTTGAGATGATGTGGGTTCTCTATACAAGTACCAAATATTTAAAAAAATTCACTTGTCCCAATTAAACATAATTACTCTAAAAGCTTAAATAAACTAGGTGCAGAATACATAACTTGGACCACCCAAATGCCGTCACTTGTGTCTAGTGTTTTTGATCTTAGCTCTCACACTTTCCACAAACTTATTCAAACTTTCTCTGGTTAATTGGGGTGGAGGTAGAAATTGGACAATGCTATCACAAATTTTGAAATGGTTGCACTTCCAACAAGTGCTAAATCTATTATAATCAGCTTTAGCAACAAGATCATCAAGAGCAAAATGAAAAAGAAAGTCAGAAGAAATGTTATTATAACATTCTACTGGAGAAATAGTACAGAACCAGAATGCCTTCTATGATGTAACCAGTCATTCAAATTGTTGTGTCAACAGTAAAAATGGCATGGTTGTAGAAGTAGGTGATTTGCTCTTGAACGAGAAATAACATGTTTAAAAAGCAAAGCCATTAATTAAAGAACATGCAGGACTGTGAAGAAAGGGCAATGGAATGGAAGTAGACCGGTCTAGCTGAACAGCTAGCATTGGCAAAGATCCAATAGGCCAAATTCCCTCCTTTTTATTGTGTGCTATCTGTAGGATTCTGCTTTGAAATAAATAGCACATCATAGCACAAAATCTAGGTACAGAGTTTCTTATTCTATATTGACCAATATGATTCCAAGATTTCTTTTTCAAAAGTACAAAAAGTTCTCTATGAAAACTTGATGGTTGATGATATCGGGATTTAATTTCATTGACTTACTGGTTTTGAAGGCAGGAAGAGGAGACAGGAAAAAAGTTTACTTATTTTGAGTAAAATTCAACCAAGTGACATATGCAACCTAAGTTCACTAAACGGCAATACATTATTACAAACCATGATGAACAAAGTTTATTCATGCAACAAACTTGCTAAGTTCCAGTCCGAGAACATTTACTGATTAGCGAAGTGTAGTTAGCACCTCACGCAGCTAATTTGTAAATATCTTTCCATTGCAAGCCATTAATTACATGCAGTCTATCATACAGATAAGTAGCAGCCAACACAGATCTCTGCTTTACAAACCACAAGGTCATTTCGTCTTGAGCTGCTTCTCTGAGACACACCCACAAAGGAGGAACGCTTTGAAAAAAAGTGAGGTAGGAATAAAAATGTATTTTAGAAATATCATGCTGTTCCAAAATTCTGGTTTAAAATACACTGATAGTTCTATGGGATTACACAAATAATCAAGGTTTTATATATTTGGCACACAAAGTGAAGCAAACCCAAGTTCAAAAAAGCCAAATTAAGCAAGCTGCTATTAAATTTCTACAGCTTGCAAATGAGTACAAGCTTGTTTCAAGAATGTTGATATTCAGAAGAACTTTGACGTTCTCTTACAAGAAGGAAATTAGTGTACAATAATAATGTTCTACTGTTGTGCTAGGCTTTGGTGAGACCACATCTGATATGTGTGCAATGTTTTAGTCTCCATAACTAATAAAGAATACGCTTGCATTCGAAATGGTACAGCAGCGGTTCATTCACTTGGTTCCATAGATTAAAAGATTATGCTATGATGAGAGGCCAAGTAAAATGGGTATATGCTCTGGAATTAAGAAGAATGAGAAGTGAATTCATGGAAATATAAACAATTCTAAAGGGTCTCAACACAGCAAGTACTAAGAAGTTGTTTGCCAAAGCTGGGACATCCAGAACATGGATGCAGTGCCTCAGAAGAAGAGGTTGACCATCTAGGATTGAAATGAGGACAAAATATTGTTAATCTTTAGAACTCCTGATTCCAGAGCATTGAAGACAGAGTGTCAAATATATTTAATTCTACAATTGAGGGATTTTATCTCTCAGACAACCAAAGGACGTGGGGAGTGTGTGGGAAAGTAGAGTTGAGACCAAGGATTAGCCATAATCTGACCAGAGTGGCCATGTAGTGTACACCAGGTTCTGTTTCTTATGTTTCTGCACAAGTCATGGATGCTTGGTAACTTCAAGAGACAGCACTTCTTTTAATAAGAGGTAGTAAGAGCTGCCGATGCTGGAGTCAGAGATAACACAGTGTGGAGCTGGAGGAACACAGCAGGCCAGGCAGCAGAGGAGCAGGAAAGCTGAGATTTCGGGTCGGGACCCTTCTTCAGAAATTTCTGAATTCCCGATCCAAAACATCAGCTTTCCTGCTCCTCTGACGCTGCCTGG